CTAAATTAGTTACTTCATGGCCGGAAGGCTGAACAATTGTCACACATGCAGTCGAGTCCATACGTAAAACTGGAAGAAAATCAAACACACCGAAACCCAACCGTGGTTAATCCATTGTTGGACCTTTGACCCACTCCCCCTCCAAGAGTTACGACTCCGAGATTGATGGCTCGAAGTCGTAGGTCGGTCTCAGCCAGAAGTCCCACGTTGCTCCGAGTCTCTCGCGAGAACGCTCCGTTACCAGCGCCGTCAAGTTGAGTCGCCTCCCGCGGAGTGTGACGCTAAAGCCGAAAGACGGCGCGAGAGAGAGAGAGAGAGAGAAAAATCAACAACCTCGCCACCGGTTGCTGAGTCGTAGTCACATCAGCGGTGTCCGTACAGCAGAACGCACGACCCGCGAGCGAGCGAGCGAGTGCGTGTGTTGTGTATATAGCTCAAGTAATAGTGGTGTAAGCGCCCTGCGCTACGAACCCGGCCACGGTTGACATCAACGTTGAGTATATGCACCGGTCGATGGTCTCCCCCCTAGGTTGACTCGGCCTCAAGCGAGCAACCTTGTGCGGTGTGTAAACATCGCCACCCTGGGAGACAAAGGCGGCCGGGCGTGGTTGGCGCGTGGTGCTGGCCACCCGCCACCCACACCCCCCCTAACTCCCAGCGTCCCAGCCTTCATAGGTGCTCGCGAAGCAGCATTTGCCCCAAACAGTCCCGTGTAGCTTCTATATATGGGGGGGGGGGGGGGGGGGTGGAATTGTTGTTTGTAACTGTCGATCTGTACGTGCGGCGATCAACGCCTTCAATCTCTGTCCTGTCTCTCTCTCTCTGTGCGAGCCGATCGCCCCTGGGCTCTCACGGCTGCTGTTATCTCGGCTGGCTTTGCTTGCTTTGCTTTCACACAAGCCGAGATCCACTGCCTCCCCCTCTCCCTACCACGCACCCTCCTTCGACACCGCAAACGGCTACGTACGAGTTGGTGGACGCACGGTTATAGGGAATGAGGACTTCGCAAACAACAACAACAGCAACGACGGCACAACAACAACAACAGGATTTCAACCGGGGCCGCGATGCTTATTGCAAACGGTTTCGTTATATTGCACACAACGGGCAGACTGATATATGACAACGCTACACACGGGAATGCACGCGGACGCGAACGCGTGTTCAACAGCAGCAACGAAAACAACAATGTATCCGTCACTCGTCACCACGGCGCAAGTGCCAGGCTAGGTGCCTTTTGCGGCCGTCGTGCGAAGCGTCGACGGCTCGCTGCTGCTGGGAAGGGTGCCATGGGGGGGGGGGGGGGGTCATTCCTCTCGGCGTCGACTGTCGTTTGGTCTGATGGGATGATCACGCGGCGTCTAAATCACCGCTGCTGTCTGAATGTCGCTAAATACGACCCCCGCGATGTCACTTGCGTGGGGAGCACAGGCTGCGGGTGCACGCGCGCGCGTGCGTTTGTGTTGGGAGCGGTGGCGCGGTGGTTAGCGCGCCGCGCTACGAACCTGGGCCACCCGAGTTCGATTCCCGCTCGCGGCCCAACACCGGTGACGATTATCTGAACCGGTCCTGGGCCTCTCGTAGGTTGACTCAGTCTCAAATGAGTACCTGGTGCGGTGTGTAAACACCGCCACTGGGGAGACAAAGGCGACCGGGCGTGTGCCGTGCCGGCCTTCAAAAATACTCGCTGACAGCACTTGCCCCAACAGTCCAGTGAGGTTATTCGGGGGCTCTTTGTCTTTGCCGTGGAGGTGGAAGGCTGTGTAATAATTCTACACTGTTGTGTATTAAATATTAAGATATCGTAGATGGTTAATACGCTATTCATAGTAAATATGAGCGTATTTGGCTGCTGTCAATTTCCACTTTATAATACGTACATTTTGTTGAGCTATCATTTTAGCTAGGACGCTTATGAAAAAGCGCCATATTAAATAGATCAGTGCGCCTACACCTGGTCAAATAAAAATAGTGAAAATAGTTTCCGTGAATGACACGTGGAGTGTGGTGCGTGTTGTTTACGAGCCGGGCGCTTGAATTCCGCGCATCTCGAACGATGCAGTCGCAATAACACCGTGGTCGTTGTTGACAGCCCCATGTCAATCCACCGCTGGATGAAGGCCATCCTGTAGGCCCGAGGGTTGTTCGACCACACGTCAGCCACGCGAGTCGTTGCAAGCCGGGACGACGAATCGAACTCGGGTTGATTGAGCTTCAGATCAAATCGCTGGTAATCGCTGCGTCACCGCTCCGCACATGCAACGCAGTGGTATAGTTTAATGCGTAGGAGGCTTTCGCGACCAATATCATAAATAATGCAGGTTTTTTTCGGGGGGGGGGTTAGATCGCGTAAATATTGAAATGTGCCGTTAAACCCTCCACCACCCGACGCAGCCAATTAGTAAGGTTCGTCACGTAAACAGAACGTTCCAATTCATTACTTGTTGTGGATTTGCTCTCCAACACACCGGTGTGCTGGACTATTGACGAATTGGCCACGTTCTATTTACGTCCCAAACCTTACTAATTGGCTGTGTCGGGTGGTGGAGGGTTTAACGACACATTTATATTTAAGTGATCTAACCCCCCAAAAAAACCTGTCGCACGGGTCAGTTGAGCTATATATTTAGCACCAAATGTAATTATAACCACAACCAGTTCATTCAAATGTCTCAATGCGCTCGAATTAGAGGTCACATATGCGCGGCCAGGCAAATGCACGAGGATGAGATAGGTAATGATGCTTATCTATAACCCGTTGAAAATACCGGTTAAAACCATTCGCCACTGTCATTGGTTGTGAGCGGGATTAACGCAACGTGCTAACCGTTTCCCCACCGCTCCCCATACCAAACACGCACTTTTACCATAAAAAAACCAAAGATCTCCACTTTATAGCTTGAACAGGCTTCTGGGGCAAGTGCTGTTAGGGAGCACCTATAAAGCCTGTGTAACGGTACACGATGGGTGACCAGCACCACGAACACCGCGCCACAAGAACACGTACACACCGCAACACACGCAACATACCAAAACGCGCGTGCACACGGAAATAAACAAATACACACACACACACGCACATACACACCGGAACACGCTACTACTAATGGCAACCACAACAACAAACACACCACACACACGGGCACGCATTACGGGCAAACGCATTAAACAAAAAGGCAGGACTAATTGTACATGGCCTTAGAGAGTGTTGCGGAAAGTGTTGTTCGCGAGCACCTATTAAGGGCACCGATGCACGCTAGGGGATAGTGTGGCCAGCGTCACGCTCACACGACCGTCTGATGTTCTCTCTGCTGTCGATGTTCACGCAGCCAATCAGCGCACCTCGTTCACGGCTATGTCGACCTAGGGGAGGCCCAGACCACGTTCATGTATCTTAATGGTGTCGTTTATGGTGGCTTGGAACTGAGCCTAGTGATCGGAAAAGTAGTGTAATTGTATGTGTACACACATATATACGCACGCAGACAAACGGATGCGATCGTATGTGTAAATCATGCGTTATACTCTATGTAAGTGCCGCTTCCATTTCCTTTCCGCGAATTTCGCGATTCCTACGTTCATCAGAATTATCTTGAACCTTCGTCAGCTTAGCAGCGTCACACAGAATATGTGTGTGCGTGTGTGCGTGTGTGTGCACGCACTCGTTATGCAACGTTACACAATTACGCCTTCAACGATTCGCAATAAAGGTTCTCATGGTCTTGCGATCCCAAGAGATCGTCTTACTTATCCCCCGACATCGCCCACCCGCAGGCCAGGAGTGGTAATAGTTGACGTCTGCTTGTATAGTCAGCCCGACGTCCTTACTAGCTCGTGCCAGACCGTCTCACGGACGGTTCGAAACTTACATTTCTAAAATACAGCCCTTAATTAGAGGAAAAACAATCAGACAAACTGAATGTCACGAGTGACCTTGCAGCCTCCTTGAGCCTTAACCCCCTCCCGATAATATCACGAAAATGACTTCGTGTGGGCATCGAGGTGCCATACCCTGGCTCTCCAGGAGAAGGCAGTACAGCAAGTTGACTCGTCTCCATCTGTTTACAATTGCGCGGGGGATTGAGCGTTGCCCCCTCGCGCGCGTGGGATTTTCTCCGGATGCCCCGGTTTCTGCTCACTTTTATTAGCACTCTCAATTAATATTTTAAGAAAGCATCTTAAAATAAAAATCCGAAGCAGGACCCTCCTGAAAAAATAGTTATAGGATGCAGCGTGACTTTCCTGGAACAGTAAATACATTAACTATTATCATGTAGAAAACATTCGGTCACGGTTTTTTTTTTTACGTAGGTTAAGGTTCGAAGGTCGTGTCATTTTCTTCATCATCATCATCATCGGCACCACAGGCCAGAGCTTCGTAGTCGGTGCGTCTCAGATGAAGTCCCGACAGGTGGGCCGTGGTATTTTCAGACTTCTTCATACGAACGGAGCTCACCTCGCTGTTCGCAAACTCGGGATAGACGAACCCACGGGGCTGTGCAGTGGCCGATCAAGGCCCCGACGTCCCATCTCTCGCCCTCGCCACTCCATTGGCTGTGCACGCGCAGTGCGGCAGCAGCCTCCAGCCCCGCATTACCTCTCACCCACCCACCCACATTTGGGATGTGTGTTTGTTCGGTGAGCCTGGAAGATCGAGGAAGCTCCAAAGTGCCGCGTGCCGTGGAATGAACGAAGTTGAGGAGTAGTCGGCCATTGGCCACCGATTGCTCCCGGTCAGAATGAGCACTCAATCGATCGCTGTAAGACGGGAATTACTCAAGTAAACGGTGCGTGCAATGGACAGGCGATAGCTATCTCTCTCACACACACACGGAACAAATTCACGTTCTTATACCTTCGCCCGAATCATGTCTGTCCATGCAATATTCAATAACCATTGCGTGGACCAACTCTCGTTCTCTCTCCTTCCGCCTCCCCACCCCTCTACCCCGACCCTACACCCCCCTCCCTCCCTCCCCGGCGCATTGCGCACAACTCAGGGCCCGAGACCGGCCACGAAGGGCTGCTCTTTCCGGGTCCGTTCGCTCGCAAGCCGAAGCGCATCCGCACGGCGTTCTCGCCGTCGCAGCTGCTGCGCCTGGAGCACGCGTTCGAGAAGAACCACTACGTGGTGGGCAGCGAGCGCAAGCAACTCGCCAGCAGCCTCAGCCTCACCGAGACGCAGGTGCCTTGCCTTCGCTTCGTTTTGTTTCGTGTTTTGTTTGTAGTTTTGCACGCGATTTCATCTGAAGCTGAATTAGGAACCCAAGTTCGATTCCCGGGCCGCGCCTCGCATCGGCGGCGAGCGGTATCTGAACCTGTTCCCTGCTTGTGCCGACGTGGGGGTTGAAGTATGGTCAAACTACCATCGTGCCCACATGCCCTAGGAAGGCCTTCATCCAGCAGTGGATTAACAAAGGGCTGTAAAGAACTACTACGGAATTATTACGACTACATCGTCTGCGATGCGCACAACTCGATCAGCCGACTCGTGAGCATCACGCCCCAAGCTGTACGTGATACGCATGCGAATTACTTAATTATTTAGCTATATTATTTGACCAGCTAAGGCCCACTGAGCTCTATAGCTCTTTTAGAAAAGCGACCTGGCGATCACAAATGACAGCTCAGCGAAGTGGCTTATCACGTGGAAATGCACAGCAGCCAAATACCTTAAACGCGTGATGTTGATTCTAAATGTGGATGGAAAAACTGGAGGACCAGGGGAAAATCAACGCGACTACGGGGAGAGAGAACTTGCAGACTTCAGTTATAGAGCAGGAGTCAGGGTCGGGATGGAACCCATGCGCTCCTGTACACCAGGCGAGAGAGATAGCATCTCGTCACCGTGACTACTGCCCCTTTTGCCAATACACAGCTGGATTGGCAAAAGGGGTCGATTGAACACACACCTGTGGAGCACGCTGATCACTGCTGATTGGACATTGGCAGGTGGGGTTCTACGACGCGTAACTACACCTGTGGTTTTTTTTTTGTGGTGGTGGTAGTGGCCACTCATCCAAGCGCCATCCAGGTCGGTGATTCTGCCCAGCGGTGGTGCGTTCGCCGCTTTGTCCTAGAGGTTTCGCGGTTCTATTCCAGCGGCCACCCTGATTATTACTGTGGGTGTACTGGCCGTACAAACACCCACCCTCTACTGCGCAATGGACGTTAAAGATCCCTGATGTTATGCGCAAGAGTCGGGGCCTATTGTGTTGCAGGCGTCTGAACGCAAATTTACCAAATATGAAAAGAATCGCCCGCAAATGACTCCTACGGCGAAAACATGGCAGGACCCTCCTGAAAACGAGTCAAGACACTCAGTGAGGATTTCTTGACTTAAATAAATAGGTGATAATAATGCGTGATGGGATCGGCATATTCGGGGTAATTAAGTCACGGGCAGGTGATTATCACGGGGGGCTTGATTTATCACTTAGTTTTTTTTTACCGGATCGTTAGAAGACTTTAGATGGACACGTCTCTAGAGTTGACACAGTCGTCGCGAGACGTATACTCAATGTGGTGTGCCGGGTGCAGAAATAGTTCCCGGGTCACTGAAACCGACAGACCAGGCTAAAAGGAGGGCCCAATTTATTGCAACTACACCCATCATCATCATCATCATCGCCATCATCATCGTCGTCGTCGTCGTTATTATCATCATTGTCGTCGTCGTCGTTATCATCATCACAATACGGCCGGTGATTCGAGAAACAAAGCAAGTTGCACGTGGATGAGCGACAAACATGGAAGTTAGCAGCAACGTTCCTCAAAATGTGATGTGCTATGAAGACGGGCCATTGCCCGAAACGTCGCCGGTTGTGTTTAGTTTTGTTGTTAATTGCGCTTGTGCACTAATGCTAACGCAGCAGCGGCAGCAGCAGCACAATGAGTTAATTTCCGAAATGTAAACGGTTGTTTGATCTGGAGAGCGGGAAAACGTTTAATAACGCACCGATTGCTTGGTTGGGTTGTGATTTGATCGCTAGAGATGCCTTTTTGGCAGACCACTTAACCACAAGTAGTTGTAAGCTCATGATCTTCCGACTGACTAATTTAAAAGACGTTTGACATCATCATTATCTTTACAATGCCACCGTCGGTATATTGAAAGGCATTTGGCCATTCATTTCGCGTTTAAATAGCGAATCAAGTGTTGGCCAAGGATCAGTGCCTTCCATGCGCAGCGCTGAGATGAACAGACGACCCCGAAGCTGTTCGTGTCTAACTTATATTATCACCAACATACGTCACACTAGTAATCATACATTCACAATAATGATTCACATACGCAGTCAATGGGCGCACGTATATTCTTTATAGCATACACATCTACTGTCCATACATAACGAACCCCGTGTAGCCACACAGACTTCTGCGGAAAGCGATTTTAAGCGAACGTCTGTCAACGACTAAGAAGTCGTTAGTTGCTTAAAGTGTGAGTCGATGTGAGTCGACCTGGGAGAGGCTCACATTGAGATTAAATTCGGCAACGACGTTTCTATCCGTGGCCGGGAATCGAACTCAGCTCACTCGGTTCAATGCGCAGTACGCTAACCGCTGCACCACCGCCACCCCCCTCCCAACCCACCTCACCCCCCGGAACCATAATGCACACACACACACACGCACGCACACGCACGCACACACACACACACACGCACGCGCACACACACGCACGCGCACACACACGCACACGCACGCACACACACACACGCGCACACACACACGCACGCACACACACACACGCACACACACGCACACGCACGCACACACACGCACACACGCACGCACACACACGCACACACGCACACACGCACGCACGTACCCTTTCACGCAATAATCCAGAGAGAGGCGGACTAAGGCAGATTTAGGATCGTTAGGGTTTAATCTCAACGCCCGGGGCTTACAGAGCGAGGCTGTCGCTTGTTTCGTGATTCTCGGGGAGCAGTTTTAATGCCACAGGCTCAGAGAGACAAACGATGGCGTATTTATGGGGGGGGGGTGTAGCGTTCGTTTTTTTTACATTCTCCACTCGTAACGTACGAGCGGCCTAGCCGCGAGATACCAAACATTAGCAATGCAACTGAACGCATTCGTCAATAACAACCGTGCGGCCTTGAAAATAATAAAGTGTAGGGTTAGACGACGTTTTGGGGAACGGTCCTTCCGCATGGCGCATGCGCTGCGATGAAAGGGCGCCGTTGATCATTGGGTCGACGTCTCATTGTGCATCGTGCCAACGAAGCAGCGGCAGCAGCGGCAGCAGCGGCAGCATTAGCAAAGTAATTTTTTTTCAAATAATAAATACAGATAACACCACCCATCCTCACCGCCGTTGATCCACAGCGGGTTTATTAAATGTGTGTGTGGGGGGGGTCGCAGTTTAAGGGGCGACGATTCGATGCAATAATTCGCGCTGCCTCGTTTGTTTTTACCGCTCGTCTGTATTGTTCGTGTTGGCGCCGTTAGCTCTAGATGCAACATTCGGACACGTTTTGTGTAACTCGTGAATCAATCGGTTCTTACGCGATTCCACGTCGCAATCGTGAGCGCAACGAGCAAACACTGGGTAACCCGCTCGAGGCTGAGTCGATCTAGGGGAGAGCCAGGGCAGGGTTAGATACCACTTGCCATTATTAATCCATGTTTTATTCGGGTTAGGCCACACGTGTTGAGTGGTTTTATACCAACAAATATTGCTGTGAACCCTCCACCATCATGGCGAGATTGCCACGTTTACACAGACAACATTATTTATACTTAGCCAAATGTGTTGATCCAATTCTCATCGATAAAACTCCCGCTCACGGGTAACTTAAGACTTTCCTGCACTGAATTTGACATCAATATCGAGGACGTTTCACTCAAACTACTTTGAACTTCATCCGATAATTCATGACAAATATTTGTTTTTATCCTGGGCCGTGGATTGAACCGAGGTTATTCTGGATTGTGGCGGAGAGCCGTACACAGACATTCACGTCCGCACATGAATTTTATACACTGCAGTATATATATAGTACACGTGGTTTGCTCGTTAAATGAGCGTGAAAAAAAACCGCTCGTAGCAAGCTTACGACTATGAGATATTGGTGTTAATTCCACATTCCTATGGCTGGAGTTAGTCTATAACAACAATACAAGCTGCTACTGATATACGATCAAAGGGGAGACGGAGATCTGTTCTACACCTACATAGGGCAAGTTTAACACTAAACGTGACATCCGGCTCATACAGAACGGCACTCGTGTGCAGGTCCAAACTTAGATTCGTAAACATGGTCAAGGTGCAACCCTGAAATGTTTTGCCAACGCCACTGCTGCCGGAAGAGCCTCTACTACAGAGGGAACTCCAGATAATCATTAGATCGTGTTTGGGTTACTCTATTTTCAGACGTCTTGGAAGAGGAGATTATATATATATACGCACAGTTTAATATTTGTATATTTTGTCATGGTAACGCATTAATAGGTCGATTGTGTATTGTATGCAGCGGTAGAGAGAGCATGTTCTTGGTCGCGTTATTCAGGGGGGTTATTGTAATTCACTTCGTCAACTTAACGCACTCACGAACACAAAGATCCCCCGTATAGACATTAACAGGCTGTAGGGGCAAGTGCTGTTAGCGAGCACCTATTAAGGCCGCCACGGCACACGAAGGGGTGGGAGGCCAGCACTACGCCCGGCCGCCTTTGTCTCCCTAGTGGCGATGTTTACACGCCGCACAAGGTATTCATTTGAGGCTGAGTCGACCTATGGGAGGCCCAGGAACGCCTTTAGGTAATCGTCACCGGTGTCGGCCGTGAGCGGGAATCGAACTCGGTTCGCCGGGTTCGCAACGCAGCGTAGCGCTAACCGCTGCACCACCGCTCCCCACAGGCGCGCGCGCACACACACACACAGCACTGACGAAAAATCCACTTAGTCCTAAGCATGGAGAGTCGTGTTTTTTTTCTTCTTCTTCTCAGTAACATCGAGTGAGCGCATCACACACACAGTGCTGGCAATCGCGAATACACTAACTTTAGAAATCCATAGGTCGGGCAGCCAAAGCAATGACCACGTGTGTCCTACTCATTGCCCTGTTGTACCCGGCCGCGCGCAGCTCGAGTGGGTGATGCATTTCACAATGTGGACACCGACTGCCTCTTTCGTCAGTCAGTGCACTGCTGGGCGAG